GAAAGGTGTAACTACGATGAGTACGACTTGGTATTGAATATTGTACCATTCCATAGAGAGGTCGTGGACCTTGCAGATGGCGGAGAAGTGACGCTTTCGTGGGTTAACTTTGATGGAATGGCTGATGACACTCCCATCGTATTTTTATTCCCTGGTCTAAATAGCTGTAGCTGTAGTGCCTATATTATCAGCATTGTGAGAGAAATCAGTCAATGTAAATACAGGTGAGAACATTATTTATATCCTGGAATTTTGTAGATGTGTTGTTTTTAACAATCGTGGAACATGTCGACGAAAGTTGAAGGTGAGTGTAATTTTCCTTGCACGTTTACTTATTTTGATGTAGACTGCTCGAACCTACTCCGCTTCTTACACTTCCGATGTCGCTTTTGTTTTGAACTTCATTGGAAACCGATACCCAAACGCACCGATGATTGCAGTGGGTTTATCTCTGGGCGCGTATGTTAAGCTTGGCTTAAATTTGTAGTACTTTTGTCGCCTTCCCACCTCGTGTCGCATTTCATTCGTGTTTTACCATGTTACTCGAATATTTGTAAAGCATTCTGGGTGGCATCATTCGACACTGGACATTCGCTAGCAATTTGAGTTTTGAAAATATTGCAACTATTGCGCCTTTCATTTTTCTAAAGTTCAGCTATGGTATTGCCTTTATACCAATATGATGTCAGTTTCGCACTCCTTTTTGTTGGGAATAGGACGGCTTTCTGCCCACTTTGGCCAGGATTATATTATATTCTGTTGATGTACCTTTACTTTAAATGTTTTGTGGGAACAATGTTAGTAAGGTAGTTGGGGACGGGGCATTTGATATCATTTTATCAATTGCTGCTTTTCAGTGAAAGTTTCACTCATCTTCATGTGTCACTGTCTGTGTCACCTAATGTACGTTGGCTTCGGTAACAAATGTGTAATGGTTTTAATTACTTTCTTTTAGAAGTGTATCCTTTTTCTTTCGCTTACTACATAAATTTGGAAATAGGAAGGTTTTACCATTCCCTTCAAGCTCAGACAGGATTTGAGCATAGAGAAGGGTATAAATTAGCACAGGTGTAGGTGAGGCTGCTGTATGTAATCATTGTTCCTTCAAGACTGTAGTGGGTTTTTTAGTTTGATGACACCTAAAAGGAAGCTATTTTAGGAGTTGGTGGGGGCTGGGTTTGTATTGTAAAGCATTTTTGTAGCTGAGTTGTTAGCACGCCGATTCCTCCCAGTACGAGTTCTCATTTCCTTTCTCCCCTGCTGAAGTCATTTGTGCCACTGACATTCAGTCTTTGGCACACTAAAATTTCAATTAATCGTTCCTTTATAAAGTTGGCTCCGGTGTTATTCCGCTAGCAGCCGTCACATTGTTGCATACAATTGATTCATTTTTTTTAGCCTCATTATCTTTAACTACCTGGCGGACAAGTCCGGGGACTGTGAAGCAAAGTGTCCCCTAATTGCTGCAATGTGTATTTGCATGCCTTGGGATGTGTTAGAGTCATCAAATGGACTGGAGAAATTGCTGAACTTCCACCTCTTTAATAAGCATCTCGCTCGTGGGCTCTGTCGAGTGGTTAAGCGAAATGCAGACGTACTATCGAGGGAGTACGACGTTCCACGCATCCTGAAGGTGGGTGGAGGTGTCCATGTTTAATTTCATTGTATGGGTGTGTATGTGAGTGAGTGAGGGCTGGGTGGAGTTTTGCAATGAAAGGGCATAGGAGTGAGAACAAATTGGATTAAGTTGTGACGATGTTGGTAGTGTTATGGTGGTTGGTAATTGCCTATGTGGTGGAGGTGGAAGAACGAGATGTTGGTGGAAAGCGTAGGAGTGAAGGGAAATGTGTAGAAGAGTTGTCTGTGAGACTGAAATTAGTAGCTGATTAAGAAGAAGTTGTTTCTTGATTTTGTAGGTCATGAGCAGAATTGCATTGGTTCCAGTTTTTGTGAAATCGCCTTATAATTTTCGCAGAATATATTGGCTTGGTGTAACTCAACAGATGGTGTGTTGGTCACTTTGAAGCAAAAGATGACTTTGTTTCTGTCATAAAACGCATCCCAGTGCCATTGTAGCTTCTTTCTCGCTATGGTAACATGTGCTCGGGGTCAAAGTCAATGTGAACCGATCGTGTAGATTGCTTCAAGGATGTCATGCTGTCTTGATAGTTAGGAGTGGGGTATTTACTTTACTACTCGCCTTTGATGACAAGTGTTTTGATGTTGCAAGAGGAAGGGAATGAAAATGGCAAAGGTGAAGGATATTTTGAAGTTTCGGAGGCATTTATGGAATTCTTTTTTTTTTTTGGTTTCCGTGTAGGGGCATGTTTTCGGGAACTTTCGATTCTTAATTAATGTCACTCATTAGTGGTGGTGATATCTTGCAATGTCGTCTTGTATTGATGAAGTTGAACTTCTCTTTTTTTGTTATTTACCTTGGGTTTGATATTAACATTTGTCCCGTGTTCGCCTTATTCATACAAGTAGTGTCGGTTGTGATTGCTTCTTTAGAGTCGCTCTGTCCGTGAGTTCGACGAGAATCTGACGGTAGACATGTTTGGCTACAAGTCAGTGGATGAGTACTACGCTGACGCCTCTCCTGCCACCAAAATTGATCGCGTACGCATTCCCATTCTCTGTCTCAACGCCGCTGATGATCCTTTTGTGCCCTTCAGCAGTGAGTTTTTTCTTCTAAAATATTTTCAAGCATTGCATTTCTTGCGACGTACGTGTGGTTGTGACTTAAGTAACTAACATCAACCCATGTCCACCCGTAATGACCTCTTACCCGATGGAGCGATCATTTTCTACATAACAGAAATATTTGTGGCGGATCTAGATGTTGGTGGCTGATCAAACACCAATGCAGTCTGCATGCACGCTTGTGATAGTGTGATTAACACGTGCTCGGTGGTCGCTGAATTCAAATAAGTAGGGGCTACATTGTAATTCAGGAACGGAAATCGATTAAAGACATTGTTTAACGATAGATTTACGATGTCAGCTTTAAATCACCATTTTTTCAATGTTGGAATGAGACTCCGTAAAACTTATTAATCAAGTAAATGTATTCATGTATTCCTTAGGCTATTTGGTAGCACCACTACATTGACTGTCCCAAGCCATTTCCTCCCCTTCGCTTCGTAGTCTCAGTGGCTCCTTGTTTCTTCTACAGCACAGTTATTCTGATCCAGGCCAAAAAGAATAATCAATTTCTTGGTTGGTGCTTACATCTCTTGCTGTAATTTTGCTATTTGTACAGCCAAGGTAGTCAGAGAACAATGATCTCTACAATCGGCTTTTTGTGCGCTCTCGCGCAAGGAAGCAGCGATAGGCTGTATGCGTGAATGGTGGGTGCCTCACAGTGTGCATGGTATGAGAAACATGGGGCTGTGTCATTCTCACATGCTTAGACTTGATTGGCCTTTTCAGTGCGGTCGAAAATTGTTTGCATGTGGCATCGAATTATCAGTCTCAACTAGCGAAGAATGAAAGTTGGTCACAAACTTTAAACTTTTGTTTGACTGCAGACATCTGCAACATATTCGATTTCGCTACTTTTATTTGTGCGCCAAAGAATGCTTTAGGCAGTGCTTTTGAGGTGTTGTGGCGCAGTTTCATTTGGCTTTTCTTACTGATAGTTGATTGGTTCGTGTTCAGACTTCGCCATTGGCTACTGGTTGTCCGCTAGCCTCCCCACTACTTCAGCTAGCCGACCTAACGACGCAGATTTGGGAAGAATTTCATCAACTAAATATAGAACTTGTAAGTCAAAAACTTCCCCAAAGAGAATGCGACAGCTGTGCTGAGACATTATCTCCCTTCCTCCTCCTTCCTCTCGTTCTGGAGGTCTCCGCGACCAGTTCCACCTTTTGTAGTGCATTTGCGCGAAGCTTACTTAACTTTTTGCTACTGACGAAGTAGCTGAAATGTGACCTTGCGTTTTGTGTTTAGTAATTTCTCACTGCCACCGAATGCAGCTGTTAAAGCCTTAGTACCTAGTCTAACAATGGGTGTTTTCCTTTCTGCTAAGCTCACGTGAGCAGCATCATGTGATAAAACCCAGCAAACTGACCCAATCTTCAAAGTTGGGAGTACGAGTCGCCTTGTTCCATAGTTAGGATCGAACTAATAGTGACTTTTGTCGACTATCGTAGCGTTGCCTTTGGATGCTGTGTGCGGAGCAGACAGTCGCGTTGTGCTTGCGTTGACACGTCACGGTGGGCACATGGGCTTCCTCTCAGGGCTCTCGCCTACGGGTTTAAATTTGGTGGATCGTGCAGTGCCTCAGTTCGTATCTGCTATCTTTGAACACACTGAAGAGTTTGCTGTTGCTGCTGCTGCTGCTGATGCTGGAGGAGATATTGGTCCTAGTGAAAGCGATCCAGCCGAAGAATCCACCTCGACTTTGGGTTAGCAACGCACACTCGGGAGGTTTGAAGAGTAAAACAGGAGATAGCAGGCTTACATCTTACCCAAGTTTCGTTGCATTTTGGCCAACCTTCTTCTTTATGAAATTTAATTGTGATTAATAAAGTGTCTTTATGGACTCTCAGTATGGTATGCTCAAGTGGGTGGGGGTTGCAGGTCGGGTCGAATGTTTTTGGAAAGCCAATTTAACGGGATGCTTATATTGCTCTGTTAATCCGGTTTCTTGCCTGGCACTTGGGTCATGCCCAGGGCCCACCTCTACCTCTTCTGTCTGAACACAAGTAGTTAGCCAAGTCCTATACAGCGCTGAGTGATCCATGGCTGTCATCATACTTCTACCCTGTGGTCTAAACACAAGTCAAATATTCTGTGTTTGCACAAGTATCCAAGCTCTCTATGTGCCTTCTATCCCCAAATAGAGGCCTCGAAACATCGGTGTAATAACTTTATATTTAACCGCTTGCATGACTGGGGATGTAATACATTGTTTTGGTGAGCTCCTAATGTCTTGCGGTTACGTTGGTATTATTTTTGCCCTTGTAGGGGTGCCAAGGCCCTATCCCTTCTTCTTCCCTTGGAATACATATGTTCCTCCCCAAAATGATAACTTTTTCTTCGTAGAAGGAGTCTCGAGGTGCTACAGGCGAAAAATTTAGCGGCCATCTCTTCTATACCGGAGACCATGGCCTTCAAGGGAAGCCTAAAGACTACGCCCCACTCTTCTCTCAGAAAACAAGCACTTGCCCATGTCTAACGCTAATAAAACCAAATGGAAGCTCGAAGACGTTGTATTATAGGTGTAGTGAATATATGCCAGATGAAAACAAACGAAATGCGGGACACCCAATGAATTCACAGTTGGGAAGCAAGTGGAGCCAGGGAGGTAGTAAAGGCTTTCCGTCGCTAGCCAATTTTCGTTCTTAGGAACATTTCAATAAAACAGTTTTGTTTATCAAAACGCATTATTTGATAGCTAAAATGTTTCGGCAATAATTGTAAGCAAATAATTAACAATCCCAATACGACAATTAAGGTAAGCGCCTCTAGTAATTCGTTTACGGAACCACCTATGAATTGACAGTACCTTTGGTATCCGACCCTTGTGACGTGGACTGGTCTTCGGACCGATCTCAGACTTGGTCACTTTTCTCTTAATAGGATGCATGTATGAAGCTTTACTTAATGCATTCTTCCACTCGGCGGGAATTGTTTGAACACCGCAGGAACTTTAAAGGTGGATTTTGATCGTTAAATTCAAAAGATATTGAATTGCCAAGTCAATTTAGTCAGATGCCTCCTGAGTATAAATTATGAAAAACCCATTTAATTACTTTTTTATTTTAGAAAGTAGACGTTACAAATGTCACACTAACCATCAATGTATTCTTCAAATTTAAATCCTTGATATTTTTAAAGATTTCCTGCAAATAGACCAAGCTATAATAAATTCTCTGCAAATCATAAATTTTACGCATTCCACTTTTTTGCGGAAATGCGTGCTTAAAATGGGAAAAAATGTATTCCATTTGTTTGTGTCGCTTGACCAATAAAATATCGGTAGACCTTGCCCGTGTGGTAGAGGCGAGTTTTCGGGAGTGAGCTATCGCCTTGGTGATTCATGTGTCTGACTTCGGCGCAACATCATGCTTTCACTGGCTGATTACTTTATAGGCGGCGAGTACAGCGTGAGATTCATAATTTCTGGTTTGCTTGGGGCCTACACAGCCTACTATTTCTTTGCTGCTCGCTCGGTACTTTTAGTCAATTTCCCCAACACTCATTTGCATAGCCACCTGTATTGTATGGTCATTCACCAAAACTCGTGGATTTTTTTCGCTCTTTTGTCCCTTTTCTTAATGAAATTTATTCCCCCTTCGTTTTTGGCTTTACTGGTCGAGTGCAGACAATACTGAGGCCCATATTCCACCGTGCCGAAAAGTGCAACTACGAGGAGTAAGGCTTAGTTCACGCACCCATTTGTGGGGTAGAGAGGTAATAGCTTTTTCAGATGGCGGAGAAATGACACTTTCATGGAGTAACCTGGAAGGAATGGATGATGGTACACCTATCGTTGTTCTGTTACCCGGTTTAACTGGTTGTGGATGTTGTCATTACATAGCAAGTCTTGTTAAGGAGATAAATCAGTGCCAATACAGGTGAGAAAACGGCTCATGTCACATTCCCTTCTAGATGCGTTGTGTCCAATAACCGTGGAACATGTCGTCACAAACTTAAGGTGAGCAAGATTCGAATTCACGCTCTCATTCGATGCAGACACCACAAACTTACTGTGCTGCACACACCTCTGATGTGGCCTCGGTCTTTGATCACATTCGAAACAGATATCCAGATGCACAAATGGTCGCAGTGGGTCTATCTCTTGGGGCGTAAGCTCCGATTGACTTTTTGCCTTCTTTTTTACTTGTACTACTTTTAATTTGAAGTGTAGTTCATAGATCATTAGTAGTTTCGGTCATTTTACTTTGCCTTGAGTATTCTTGAGTCCCAGTTTATCAGCTTAGCAATTGTCGCAGGCCGAGGAAGAAGCTTCTCCACTAATCCAAGGCTGGTGTTTATCTATTTCATCTTTATGATGTTAGAATTTCGTATGCAAATCTTAACTTAGACTCCCATTTATTCGATCGCAAGTGCATTTTTTGACCAATGGAGAATCCACTTTTAGCCTCCTTGTCTTCAACTACCTGGCAGACGAACCTCAAGATCGTAAGAAACCTTGCCCACTCGCCGCCGCGATGTGTGTGTCTATGCCCTGGGACGTGTCACAGACATCTGACAAGTTAGAAAAATCGTTGGACTGGCTCCTTTTCAACTATCCTCTTACTCATGGCCTTCGTCGATTGGTTATGAGAAATGCCGATGTGTTGTCGAAAAAATATGACGTTCCACGCATTCTGAAGGTAGGTGGTTGAATGCAGTGTCGGTAATCAATCGTACTTGGGAAGTATGTTGCCGTGAATTTTATGAAAGCTCTTGTTGGATCCCTGTAGGTAGTTTGTAAACTTGGCATGTGGCAGATGGTTCGTAGCCCATCGGTGGATTTGTTGGGGTATTGTGGATCTTGCACCGTTGGTATTTGTTGTGAGTCCCTTGAGAACTGATTCACCAAAACTGAAATACAGTTAGGTCGGTGGCATTTTTATCAACTAAGGCGTGGAAATTATGGTCATATCTTTCCAACTTCTTCCCTACTCCCCAATAAAAGCGTCATCGTTGGATGATTGCTAAGTGACTGGTAGGCTTGTAATATGGTAATGGATGCACCATATATCACCTACACATCAAGCCTCTCCCCAATTTTTGCACTCACGTCTCAGACTCCGAGAGGCTGTGCTTGACTGATCCACATGTAGTCGACTGTGCATAGAGCTGTTTACCTGCTGACGATAAAAGGGTACGATGTAAACTTTATGGATCAGCGTTATGATTACAAGGCAACGCATCTTGCATATCATATACGGGTTTTATTTGATCGCCTTTCAGCACTTTTTAAAATGGGATAAGAAGCACAGAGGAGGAAAAATTGTCCATTCCATTCCTCCTCATCTGCTTTTATGTCCCATGACATATGCAAGTGAGTAAACAATTGGACCGAAGCAGACGGTCTTCTGTTTTTTTCCCCTCTCAACGATGACAAGAATGGGCTTTCTATCTGCTTTTTCTTTGTTTAAGAGTGAATTAACATAATTTTTTTATTAAAGTAAGTTCTCATGGACAAAGTTGACTTTGACTGTCCCTAAGCTATTTACCACTGTACTACACCGAGATTCCTCTGAGGATGTAGTGACCGCAAGTGCTTTGAAAGGCGGGTCGGGAGTGGAGTTGAGGGGGCTGCCAAAATGCATCTGCCATCTGCTGGGGCAGTTAAACAAAACCCTCGAATGGCTATGGTCATATTGTTCATTATTGTTAGCTTTATAAGCAATGACTGAAAAAATGCGTCACTTCCTGAAGAATGAATTTGCTGTGTGATGCTTAAAGTTAGAATTTGTGGGAATTGAGCTCTATTTATGAAGTAGAGGTTAACTTCCTTTTTCTCTCTGGCTTCTATGCGGACTGTGGAGAGCTACGCTTTGTATTCAGTACATTTTGAGGTGCCTCGGCTTCACATTACCGGTTTGACTGCTGCTATTACCGGTTCCGCCTTTTGGCTGTCTACGTACTTGAATTTATGGCGATATTTCACGGAGTTTGTTTTTCATGTAGTCAGTGCAGTTGTCTGCAGGTTTGAAGGAGACACATCTTCATTGCTGCACTTTTTGGCTCTCCGAAATTTTTTCTGTCCTGAAGAACTCCACTATGCTACTTCTCAGGGTCACAGATACTCAAATGCCATTTTTTTTCAAAATGGAGTTGAAAGTAATAGCTTTATGAATGCTATTTTTACAATTGTTATCCGGTTGAGATCCTTTGTTTTTTCTTTTTGCAACGCTTTCATCAGTCGATTCAATTGAGGAGTTTTTCCTAGCCGTCAATGTCCGGCGAGTCACGACTGTTATGTTTTTGTGGCATTACTCATCCTCCCGAAGTGAATGCAGGAGGGCTGACTAAACGCAGGCCCAGTCACTTGCCTTTCCCAGTTTTAAGTCTTCAAGTACGTACGTACGGGAACCAGGAGATGGTGAAATCATGCGACATCAGGAGGAGAGCGTTGGGTGGAAGAAAGGACTGAGATGACCCATTTTTGTTTATGTCGTCATCTGTTGGCCTATCATGTAAGAGGTTAATGCCTTTTGCATCACTTGCTTGACTTATCCTCGATGCTTCTAAAGTCGTCGAAACTCATCGCAAACGAACACCTGTTGAACCACGAAGAGCCCACCTCTCCCTCCTTATTCGCTGTTCTGGCAACGCGCCTTCAAAGTTCAAGGTTAAGCCTTGAAACGAGGTGCGATTTGATTGGTTTGTTTGCCTAATGTAAATCGACGCTGTC